AAAATCTTCGACATCGTTTAACTCTTTCAAGCTTTTTTGCACTGAATTATCCAATTGATGCATCGATTTTCTCGCTTTTTTTATGTCTCGCAAAGCACACTCAATTTGGTCTCTCACAGAACTGCCTGGTCCAAAACTGCTTTGCGTTTTCTGATAGTTTACGCTCAGCGAGGTCATCATGGCCTCCATTGACGAAAGCCAAGCTTGCAAAAATCTGAAGCAGTTGAGCGACGCTTTAACTACGCCCGGTTCTTCCGCAGATTCTTCCGGATTTTCTTCGTACCCTTCTGGTTTCATCGCGCACCCTTCTGGATTTTCCACCGTTTCTTTTGATTCTTTCGCGAATTCTTCTGGTGTTTTCTTGGACTGTTCTTTCCCTTTCGCGAATTCGTCTAGTCCGATTGTTCCTACGTTTTCAGCCAACTCTTTTGCCAAATTACTCATTGTAGTACCTGAGATTTGCCTGCCATGTAACTCGTTCATAATTAATTTCAAACTGACCAAATCAGTCTTCATTACTGGGCTCATCAGTTCTCCCAATGTCCTTTTCATCAGTCCAGCCTTGTCAACGAATGTTGCTTTCTCTTCCGAAGTCAAGGGACGCAGTCCGCTCTCCCACGCGATCACTTCGGCCAATGATTTTGGTATCCATCGCCGCCATCTGGAGGATCCCTGCGGGTGCACTAATGTGGGCTCAGTTGAATCACTTCCGGAAGATCTCGGGGATAGTAATGCGGGGATTGTTGATTCACTTCCAGGCGATGTCACTCCCGGTTCAACCGGGCCACCGGTAGATTCCTGAAGCACATTCAGTTGTTCTGGGATGGAGCCCATAATACTTTTTAAAGCTCGTTTTTCTTGACTTTCATCCAGTGGTCGCACAGCAAAGCTGGGCACAATACTGGATATTTCGGGAGCAATTTCCTGCGCTTCTTGCTGCAGTTTTTCTCTGATTCTGGATATTTGTTCTCGCTCTTCTTCCTCATCTTGTATTTCTTCCCATCGCGCATCAAAGATGGCCGTTCTCTCGTCCTCGTTTAAACTTTCCCATTGTTTTCCTTTGGAGCTAGTTGCGCCACTTGCTGTTTTTTCATGCGGCCTTCTCTCAACATCCTCCTTTCCGGAACTAGAATCGCCAGTGGCTAAAAGATGCTTGACTAGCTCTATATCTGGTGGTTGCTCTGGGCTAGCGAGAGCCGGTGTCGAAGTTCGAGGCGTCAGTCTTGTTGGTGTATGCAGTGAACTACTGCTTAACTGCCAACTTTGGCGCTGAACATCACTTGCTGATTGTATTTCTGTGCCTCCTGTTTTTAATATAATCGGACCCATCGCCTGTCGCT